AAACGTCTAAATCATACTAACCAAATACGCAACTCCGAAGCAAATGGAGCGCACCAAAATCTTCCGCTGAGCTGATAGCCTACTTGGAGGGCTCTCGACCTGTCTATCAGGACCTGCGGGCANTGTCATAAGACCATTTTGTCTCTAGAGCAATATCATAAAGTAATATCTTTTCAACTTTCGTATTTTTTTAGACCCATGAACAGATGATAAAATATTATGACACATGGAAATTAAAGAACATAGATATTTCTATTACTTCTATGAGTAGAGTCACTTATGGAATTTTTGCATTTGCATGTTTCGTTCATATCGTATGGATCATGCCAAAAGAAAGAAGGGATAGCCTTAACATACCTGGAGTAGGAAAAAATACGTATGATATTCTTGGAAAAGATTGCACTGTGGTCTCTCCGAATCGCAAAATCCCGTTGCTATTATCTTATAAAATCTCGTATGAAATTTTGGTAATAAATTTCGTATGCGAAATTGAATGAATTTCATTCCCTACTTTATTCACGGCGTACAAAATATGGTGCTGTTAAGATTCTTCTTTTCTGGTGCTATGAGTTTACTAATACTCCAAAATTGAAATTGAATAAACTTCAGGGGAAGGAATCTTGAAGTTCTTGAAGATTGGAAGTTGTATGATGATTTTTATATGTGATTTTTCAAGTTGTAAGTAATCGTAGGAATAACACTAGTAGTTGTGAATTTATCTCAACTTTATAAGGTACTTACTGATGCAACAATTTTGAGAGTCTTTCCGTAATAATCTCTTTAAGGGTTGACACATTGCAAAGTTATGCCAGAGTCACATAATGACTCATGTAGGGGTTGCCACGTTTTTGGCTTTGTGTTTATCCAAAAAAATTATCCACTTATTAGTTAACCGGATAATATTTCGTTATCCGGTAATTAATCTATTATCCGTATAATTTAAAAATTATCACAAATTACTTAAAATGTTACTCACTTTCCACATACCTTATACACCTTACTATCATTGCCATGTAGTACCTTGTATGACACTAGTCCATAAATACTGGGTATTTTAGCTCGAACCGTATTTTATCCCAACATGCCAAACTTGGACGAAAATTCATTTTCTTTTACTTGCTTTCCCTTTCACGTTTACGAATTTACTTGCTACTTGTTTGACATAGCATAATTCTTATAATCTCCAAATAATCTTTTCCTTGGAATTACGTCGATTAACTTACAACGAAATTTTAACGTACGAAAATGCGGAATATAACAGGTCCGGTCCTAACGGGCTTCATAACAGAACCAGCCCACTTAGCAGGCCCACCTCCCTTGGTCCCGGCCTTAAACAGTTAGACCTGTTTAGTCCCACTACCCATATGGGCTCGCGGGCCTGAGCCTGGGCCTGACACATGCCAGCCGTAGTTCATTGTGCCAAAAGTATTCTAGCCAGATGAGGCACATTTAGGATCAGATGATCCACCGAGTGGAGAGTTACTATGTCCACCTGATATATTCTGTATGGTCCTTGGACTTGCTTCAGGCGTGCGCGAGAATCAGAATCATTTCCCATTGTGAATGTTTCATGGCTCCCGAGACTAAACCTCGCCTCAGAGATCCACTAGGAGGAAAGCGTTGACTCGTATAGCAGACTAAATTTCAATCTTGATAACTTTGAAACCACAAAAACAACTGATCATTACTATTTCCTTTTCCTACGAGCCAAGCTAAAGTTAATATAGAACTACACATCTTTAGCCAAGATAATCCCATCTCAAGGAAAAATTATCTGCAGTAATGGAAAGACTTAGACCAAGACACGTTAACTGTAACAGCTTCGAAAGTCTTGATTATGGAAGGCATCAGGTTCTCTTGTTATACAGCATCCCTGTTCGTGGAAGCATTTGCAATAGGACTCCTTTGCCCGGGTAAATTTCCAGCATTTATGAATGTCCAAGAACTACTACTTCAAAAAGGATCTGCTGATTGTCTTCCTTCTTCACCTGCAAAATTTAGGAGAGCAGATGAAAATGAAATTCCCTTTAAAAAAAAGGGACAAGGAGAATTGACCAGTATTTTAGTGTAGTTACAAAAGCCAATTACACCGAGGATATAGTGTCAACGTGCTCAAGTTCAGAAATAAGAGAACACATAGAGGCATGCCAGAAAATAACCTGAATGTCTTTCTGCATCGGGAATGGCTGGAGGAATATCTGAGCTGGGTCCAGCACAAGGGCCCTAAATAAAGCAACCATTGTCAGATATAAGTGAAGCTTATATGAAGAAAACAGAGATGTAATACCACTTACAAGAGGTTGGAAAGGAGTTGCAATTTGAGTTTGCTGGGACCTCAATACCCAATCAAAAACATAGTCAAATTGAAAGCCTGCAAAGGAAAGAGAACTGTAACGTAAAGCAAGACCATACATTAACAGACAAAGCTAAAAAGCATCTCCCAAGCTTATTAAGACCTTCACGGATGAAGAGGTCACGGAATATTTTCTTCAGGTAAGCATAATCTGGTTCCTCCTCAAACTGGAGAGAACGACAATACTGGAAATATAATGCAAATTCAGTAGGATAACCCCGACATAAGTCCTGCAGAAACACAGATCAGCAGTTAAATTCCATGTACGTAAAAAGGAGTCCAATCACCATATTTGCGAATAAATTACCTCAATGGATGTTGAAACCTTCTTTTCTCTAATTTTCTCATACTTCTGCTCCTTAGTGCTTGCTTTGAACCCTTGCCTAGGAAGACTGCAATAATAGATGCCAAACAATGCAGGCAAAAACAAGAGGAGGACAGATTGCAGCAAAAATCACCTTCCTCGGAGTAAGTACATAAGAACATATCCAAGAGATTCCAAATCATCCCTCCTGCTTTGTTCTATAATTACCAAAATAGTACATCAAGTCAAAAGACAGCAAAGTTCATCTATCAGAAAAGTGAAACCCAAGTCTAAAGAATAACAATACTTACCGATACCAAGGTGAGTGTTCATGCTAGCATATCTTGGAGAGCCTGTAAAGTTTTTGTTCTCTCTGCAGGGCCAAATACCATACAATATACCATGTAAGCTAATTAGCTAAATGACATAATAAGATTCACAAATGCAGATACGTTAATGCATGGGCACAAAATAATATAATATCCTAGGACACACTGAATTTAAGAAGAGAGTAGCCCTCTGTTGTACCTACAATTCTAAGCTGGAATATACAGATATTCACACCACAATGTTTTCTTTAGGGGATGGAGAGGGAGTGGTAGAGTATTTTTCAAAGTTAAGTATAATCATTAGTCTCCTCAAGGGAGTGGTGGAGTATCTTTCAAAAGTTCAAGTACAACCATTAGTCTCCTCTTGTTTCCATTCCTTCCAAATCCTTTTAACCCAAACATAATGTAATGTAAGTGTTTTTGGTAGGAATACATGCATTCATTAAAAGCAGTATATTTTGCATTATAGCATCATTATAGACAAATAGGAATATTGCACCATCATATTAAAATCTAAAAACAACCCTATCTGTAACTTTGCGTTGCGCTCAACTGACGCCAACATGACTATATCATTTTTTAGAGAAGGTAAGAATTACTAATGTCAAAAGCAGCAATAGTTCTGTGATTACAACATCTAAAAGTTAGCCAAAAAGAAGAAACCCCCCAATAATCTATCCAAAAGCAAACAGGACTATCTGCAGTGTTTATTTAAAAATTTAATAAATATTTTTTTTTGTTTGAAATTAAAGTATTTTGATTGCTCAAAGGGAAATTTTAATAAACACTAGTATAGCACCCGCGCGAGTGTGGAGATTATAAATCATGTTGTGTGATCTAATTGGTTTGACCATCTTATATATTATTGCTTGAATTAAATTTTAATTTTTATCTAGTGAAACATGCCCAATAATAAAATCTTATGAAATTAGAAAAAGATTCATATAGTCATCGAATAACTTTTCAGTTCCTCACTTTTCTTTATTACATAATCTACTATATTTAGTATTATTTCATTTGCAATTATGAAGTTTTATTAGCTTGTTACTTGACGTAATATTTTTATTAATTCTCTCTTTTAATATAATATAGATATAGATATATATTTTTCTTACTCCTAAAACTTTTTCTTGAAAATCTTTTTTCCATTGCCCATCTTCATTTGAATTCGTCCAAAATATAAATTATTTTTTCTATATTAGTTATAAATCTACCAGTTTTTTTAATAATTGGTATTTTTGTATTATAAGCCTAGAAATTAAGTTTTTCTGCTCCTTTTACTCTTTTTGATTTTTAAAAGTTTAATTATTAAAGTCAACTATCTTTTAAAATTATGCTTTATTGCTTGGTATTCTTCCATTGCCTAATGTTTTTGGTTTTTGACTTTATATATTAAGATTTAAGTTACATGATATTTTACATATATGTGATTTTTATCATTATAACTCAAAAACGCTTACTAATTTGAAATTCCAATAAATCTTATTATTTCATATTTTATACCATGTTTCCTCCTTTTATTCCTCGATTATCATTATTGTTGTATTTGTTACTCAGTATAATTGCACTATAACGTGTTTAGTTTGATTTTAGATTTAATGTCCTTGCTTATTACCTCCTTTAATATAACATAGATAATACATATTTCTTACTCTTGAGAAAGTTGTTAATTTATTACTCTTTTACTTGAAATTCATTCATTGTTCTATTATATCCTTATTTTTGGCTTTATCTATTATGCTTTTAGTTATGTTTTATTATTGGGAAAAGGTCCAAAATTGTCCCTCTACTATGGTATATAGTTTATGTTTGTCCCCCATTATACTTTTCGTTCAGATCCACCCAATACCGTTGACAAATTTTCTAGAATTGCCCCTAACGTCCCTCCACCGTGGGACCCAATCCCTCTATTAATTTGTCCACGTCAGCTGCCATATCAGCAGGTCCCACACACTAAACCCAATCCCAATTTTAATACCCGGTTCGAATTAAAACCGAACCTGATTTTACCCCATAACCAGGACCCAATTTTCCCCGGAACTTATTAAATTCTACAACCAAACACATGGCAATATGGGACCCACACCCATCCTCATCGTCTTCTTTCATCTCTTCAAAATTCCCAATTCCCACCATTGCTAAGCCCGACAGACATACCAGCCCCATCATACACGTAAAGAACCTGACAACATCACTGATGCTAACTCCATGCATCTTTTTATGTGCAAACACAAACGTGGTCAAATTTCTCATACCCTTCCAAATTAGAATCTACAAGTAACTCTTTGTGATACCAGATTTCGGTGAAAATGACATAAAATCAACTACCCAGTAGAGTTAGAGAGCTTAAGATTTTAGCAGCACAAAGAAAAACGTAAAGTTAAAGCATATGCTAAAATGGAGATGAGACTTCTTAAATTTCAAAAAAAATAAATTCTATGGATCAGACACCTTTTAAATCTCCACTATTAAATCTAATGGATCAGATTTATTTGGGTAGAAAGAAAAACGCATATGGCCATATTTAACTTGAAAGACAAACTTAAAACAAAATTTAGATCAGATTTTTGAAATTTTTTAGTATTTTCTATAGTTTTGTGCATGTGATTCCATCGATCTCGGTGTATAGATTTGGTCGGTTCTTTGTCTTATTGTTTACCTTGAAATCAAATCTGGGTTTTGAGAAAGTAGGGAAAGAAATGGCTTTACTTTGAGAATTTTGGACGCCGGAGAAGAGCATGAAAACGTGAAGAAATAGAATAAGAGGGAAAAAAAGTGAAAGAAAGAAAAGAAAGAGTAAACAACATTTTTCTGTGACTTTTAGTGTGTGGGACCTGCTGATATGGCAGCTGACATGGACAAATTAATAGAGGGATTGAGTGCCACAGTGGAGGGACGTTAGTGTTAAGAGCAATTCTAGAAAGTTTGTTAACGGTAGGGGTGGATCTGAACGAAAAGTATAACGGTGAACAAACTTAAACTATATACCATAGTAGAGGGGTAATTTTAGACCTTTTCCCTTTATTATTGTATGAATTTTCTCATCACTATTCAAAAGATACTTTCTCGTCTCAAATTCAGATAATTTTTATATCTATAATTTTATAATAAAATTATTGTTTTTGTTGTAAGTTTATTTATTCGTTACTTGAAATTCTTTCATTGTTCAATATCATTGTTCAATAAAATTACTTTTTTTTTAGTATGCCACTTGGCTTCAATCAAGGTTGACTATAATCCTTTTAATATAATTTAGACAACATTTAATATGTTATCTTCATATCTAGCTTGAATACCACTTGGCTTCACTTTCAAGCTTGCTTAATTCTTCAATTGTCTAAATTTATCAATAATATATGGAGTATTATTTATTACTTTCTTTTATTTATTAAATTTAGTATTTTATCTATAATTAATGCCTGAAATAGTTTCATAGTTAATACTAGTTTTGATTTTTTCCTTCGTCCATATATATGTTCTTCTATAATTTTATACAAACTGTATTCTTCGTCCATATATATGTTCTTCTATAATTTTATATAAAATGTATCAATATTCTTAATATTTTTTTTACATTATATGGGATAAGCAATTAGTCTTTTCTTTTATTTTGTTTTCAATATTAAGTTTTGATTTTTACATTTTTTTTACTATGTTTCTTCTAATTGTTTCATTATTATATATCTTTTATTTTGTGCGATAGATAATGACCCACGAGACCAATATAAATAGGGGAATAGAGAAGAATGTATTTTATTTTTTAAATTAATTCAAATATTTTTGTCTATCTATTCAAATTTAGAAGCTTTATCTCAATCCAAATATTTTTGTACATCAATTCAAATATATACAATGATATAATCTAATTAGAATATTAAAGATTGTGTATTTTATCTTTCAATTTCAAATACACTCTTAGCATTGTCATACCTCATTTTTGCGCGCCTACTCCGAAGGATAAATGCGTGAGGGAGTTTTTCCAATTTAAGTGACAATATTCGAAATGGGATTATTTATTTAATTCAGAGTCGCCACTTGGGAAAGGTTTGGCTTTTGGTGTCCCAAGTCACCGGTTTATCTTGAATCCCAAATCGAGGAAATTTTCGACTTTTCCAAATGAAGTCTGCGAACCAGAAATTCTAAGTAAGGAATTCTGTTGACCCGAGGAAAGGTGTTAAGCACCCCCGAATCCCGTGGTTCTAGCACGGTCGATTAAACTATTGTAATGGCTAAATATCTGATTTTTATACATGTTATAACTTATGTTTAAACTAAAGTTAAAGCCGAAAGCGAAAGTTAAAGCTGAAGCTTAAAGGGAAAGCAAAAGCCAAAGTTAAAGCAAAAAGCAAAAGTTAAAGTAAAAGTTAAAGTTAAAGCAAAAGTTGAAATTAAAGCAAAAGTTAAAGATAAAGCAAAAGTTAAAATTAAAGCAAAAGTTAAAGCAAAAAGGGAGTTATTATTTTTGGGAAAGGCCGTGCAATTTTGCTAATTGGCCCATCCGAATTCTAAGTAACTTTACAAACACGTATAGAGGGCCCCATAGCTTTTGTATTTTTGTTTGTCGAGGCTCGTCTCATTCATTATCTTTAAAAGAATTGCAATGTCGTGGAAATGCATCACCACGTCACAATCAATGTACTCATGATTATCGACACATTCCGACTTCGTTGAGATTTGGATTTGGGTCGCATCAATGCGCACCCGAGTTTAAGAATGTAATTTTATTAAAATCGTGCCTACAGAGTCTAACGCATTATTATCTTTGGGGAAGACCGTGAAATTCGCTAAACGGCCCATCCCGAATTCTAAGGACAAAACAAGATTAACCAGATGAGGGTCGTGCGTTTAAGCCTTTTGTTTGGCACAGCACGCCTCAAATTATTCCAAAAGGGCTTTACTCCACTAAAACAAACCACGGATATTCATAACTATTATTTTTTTAAAAAAAACTAATTTAACATTATTGTAAGACCATTGATTATGGAAATTATTGTGGAGAAACAAATTACTACTACACGTCATTTGTTTTTGAGGGAATGAATTACTCATACTTATTCTAATGAAATCAACTAGAGCAGAAGGAATTCCTATTACTATAACAATTAAAGATACCAAATACAGCCAAATAAAATAATGTGCGACACAATTAGCAATGAAGGAACCAATTTAAAAGTGAATACGGGATTAACATAATCAAATAAAACTCAATTTATAAACAAACCTGTGGATAAACACCAGCTAGCATGACAAAGGATTTAACTTTAAGGGAACATAATCTCTATCTTCTAAAAATAAAGACCTAAGCTTAAGATAAGTGAAAAAGGCTTTTCACACAGCACAAGCAAATCAAGAATAAGAATAGCTGGCAAAAAACAAAAATCCAAACTGAAACAAGAATGTAAAAGACATTGAAACAATAGATGAAATAAAGGAATGGACCTTCTTTCTTTAATAAAATGATCCGTTGGCAGACTTTTACAACGTCAATTATTTGACGCGCACAATGACCGTAACCGACGCCGGATACATCAACAAACCTCGTCGTCAACTCGACTTCAAACTGGAATCAACCTTGGCAAACTCGAATTGGAAGTTTCTCACGCTTCTGCTGTATTTCTCGACCAGTCACGATAGCAGCAGATGTGAGAGGGTGGTCGTTTGGACGTGAGAAAGGTGATGACGTAAAGGGGGTGGTCGTTTGGACGTGAGAAAGGTGATGACGTAAAGGGGGTAGTCGTTTGAACGTGAGGAAGGTGATGACGTAAAGGGGGTAGTCGTTTAGACGTGAGGAAGGTGATGGCGCAACAGCGATGGCTGTTTTGGTGGAGCTGGAGCTCGCTGGAGGATAGGGTGGTCGACGGACTGTTTGGTTGACGACGTTGCTGCTGGTTCGTGAGGGATGGTGGGCTGTTGATGGTGGTCGTGAGACGGAGAGGAAGCTGGGGCGACGGTGGTTGCTGGAGGTGGAAGGGTGGTCGCTGGACGATTTTTCCGGTGACGGGCAGTGGTGGTTTTGAGACGTGAAGGAGGTGGAGTTATGGTCGTGGTGGTTTTTTTTTCTTCTCCAAAAATGGAGAAGAAGACCAACAGTAGTGGTCTTCCCTTTCTTTTTTTCAAAAAAAAAAAATGTCTAAGTCCCCCCTTTCATGTGCTCATCCGTGTATATGTAAATGTAGGGTGTTTTTATATGCTTTTTCTCTTTTTTTCTTTTAAATCTAAGTGGTCCAATTTTAAAAGCCTTCCCATGTTACTTTGTCCATGTGCCCATGTTCTTGTGTTTGTCTTTGTCCCCCACGTGTGGTGGGCTCGGATTGTTACGGGCTAGGTTCGAAAATTAGGCCTAAAAATGGGTCGTTTGAACCCGAATATTATTCTTTGCGCGAAACCGAGAATGAAAACATGAATTTATTTAATTAATCCTACATAAGCAAAATAACTATAAAAATAAGACTGACAATTAAAACGAAACTATTTTTATATTTTTCCAAGTTTTTTTTTTAAAAAAAGCTACAACACATTAATTAAACTATTTTTTACAATTTTCGTTTTATATATATAAAGATAAAAATATAAAGTACTATTTTTATATTTTTTAAAGTTTATGAGAAATAAATAAACTAAAATTTATATATATTTTTTGTAATTTTCATTTTTGTGACGAAAATAAAGTAAAAGAGTCAAAATAAGCTGAAATAGCTACATTAAGGCTAAATTAAATATTTATGTGCTAAAATGTGAAAAATTTGGGGAGGGACAAAATCACATGTCAACAAGCATTACAAATTGTCTATACAATTCTATAATATAGATTTATATTAGATTTTTGTCGTAAAATCAAGTTAAATTTTGCCTTTAAAGTGCGAAGTAGTATTTTCTCTATATGATACTTGGCTTTACCTCATGCTTCACTATCATTCTTTTAATATAATATATGAAGTTATAGTATGTTCTGGCAACTTCCCAATTTAAAATAGAACAAGTTTCAAAATAAATAATTTTCAATATATAAAAACTATTGTTTCGGAAAAAAATAGTTAAGTATGTTAAAATTCAAATAAAAAACACATAATGTATAATTTAATTTTTTTTAAAATTAAATTCAAAGAGAAACTAATTATTACCTAACCTAACAAACTTTTTCCTAAATTGCCAAGTGACCTATTGTGAGGCTACCACTTGGCTTAACGTGGAGGCTTTTTCCTTTCCTTTTAATATTATATAGATAGAGATATAGATTCTTCATTTTGATGTCCTCTTTTAGGATAAGCATATTATGTCGTGATGTCCTCATTGGAAGGGAATTTTACATGGAGTACGCATTAGCTTGCTTCCAATGCTAAAGCAAACTCAAAGCTTTTATAAACAAGGGAAAAGAACATAAGGGGCAAGTGAGAATTCACTACATCCTCCGCTAGAGCATTTTCAAGATTTAAAAGTGGAAAGAAAGAAAGGTGCTGTAAACACTTAATATCCTACCAAATGAGCAACTCATAATAACCTTACCTGTAAGGAATGTGTTGGTGACTTGAAGTGTTTCTGTACCTCTTGGCTAGACCAAAGTCAATAATGTAGGCCTGCACTTTAAGCCATAACAAAATATTAAAGAAACACAAATCCTGCAAAATCATGGTAACAAAAGTAACGAGACAGTAATAAGAATATGGGACCTGTTTTACACGCTTTCCGAAGCCCATTAGAAAATTGTCTGGCTTGATATCTCGGTGCAAAAATGATTTACAATGAATAAATTCGACACAATTTATCTGCAGTACATACCAGAATAGCCATATAACCAACACATTTTAAGGTATACTAATGCTAAAATTTGAAGCATTAAATTAAAATTAACCATTTGATCTGCAAGCATCAAAACTGTCTTCAGGGAAAGCTTCCTACTGCAAAAATTTAATAAAACTTCAAGATTGGGTCCAAGCAAATCCATGACCAGAACATTGTAATCTCCCTCCACGCCAAACCACCTCGCATTTGGAATTCCAGCTACATGAAAAGTATTACAATTATAATGCTAACCAGAACAAACTAGAGAATTGGGAACAAAGATTAGGAATAGAAACAGGATAAGCCAATTACTTCCTCCCTGAAGAACTCTATACAACTTTGACTCATATAGCAGTTGAGGATGCTTTGTCTCGACATTTTCCTGCAAAATATTTAAGATATTGTAACATAAAAAAATAATAGAAGGAATAGCCAGTTATAATGTCAGAAAAGACAAGACATTCCAATCCAAGACTCAAAAGCAAAAGCAAATGAAGCACCTCGGCAACCTAACATTTTGCAGATACTTGTATATAGGATCATTCTACATATGAGATTCATCTTACCAATGTTAATTCAAAAAGCAAGAGATATGTAAAAATCTTAGATGTTGCTGGCGTGGAATACGCTTCAGAGCTAAGACCAATGCACGGCTACATAATAGTATTATAATGTCCACAGCTAATAAGCAAGCAGTTTCTATTTCATTTCATGTAGTCAATGTTGGGGACCAAAGCAACCAATAAATAGGAGATAATATTTTTAAGTTTCTTTCCCGCAGTAATTGGGAGACAGATCTATTTGAAAGTTTAGATGTCGCTTGCACGATCGCTGCTGTATTAAACATTAAAGGGTGAAATTTTCTTTCTTTTTCGATCCATCTCATCTTTCTGTTATTTGTTTATTATAGCATTTTCCTTTACTTTGAGATTAAGCCTCCAACTTCTACAATTTTCTATTTGGCACAACCGCGTATTCTTCAGTTTCGCTTTGTTCGTCATTTATTATAGCTACCTTTAAAGAGGCCCTTTTTTGTTTGTAATTCTTTGGGGGCTTTATATTGGATTCGCTTCTTTATCTGCATTTTGGGATTGGTGAATTGCCGAATTGGTGAATTCAGGCGCTTGTGTTTCTTTTGGGTTCTTGGAATACTATTTTCTGTAGCTCCGTTCAATAGCTTTGTTATAGCTGCTTGATGGTTTTCACAAGGAGGATACTGTTTTCTTAGTAGAGAGGACTATTCACTCTAAGAGCAAAGAAAAAATAGAAAAAAAGAGGAAAGTTGGATTCCTTGCTAGTCATAGATTTTCCATTAATCAATTTCGATTCTTAATTAGATACAACCTTGTTCCTTCCGTCATCTTTTGCCGTTTTCTTTTGCTTCTTCGCTTCGATTTTTCTGTCAACTGAACATTTGCTTCTGAACCTCCATTATGTGTTCCCCATGGTGGCCTTCATCTTGATTTTCCGGCGAAGTGTATTAAATTAGAGAAAAAGATTTCTTGGTTGGTATAAATTCCAGAGAGAACACAAAAATATTTGAAGCTCGTCGCAATCCATCACCGCCGGCCAGATTTCCGTTAACTTGAAGGGCAGCAATCTAGGTTTTATTGTTCCTCTCTTGTCTTGATATTTTAGCGTAATTGTATCTCCTTGCCTGCCTATTTCGTTCTTGAAACCTAGAGAAAAAGATTTCTTGGTTGGTCTAAATTCCAGAGAAAATACAAAAATATTTGAAGCTCGTCGCAATCCATCACCGCCGGCCAGATTTCCGTTAACTTCAAGGGCTGCAATCTAGGTTTTATTGTTCCTCTCTTGTCTTGATATTTTAATAGTTTAATAGTTTAGTGTAATTGTATCTCCTTGCCAGCCTATTTCGTTCTTGAATCTTTAGTTAATATTTGCCCTAGCATTGTCAAATTAATTATATTAGTGATAGCTTTGTCTACTTGTTTATATTATTATCTACCTGTTTACATTTTTATTTTGAATCTTTATTTCAAATATCCCCCAGTAATTCTGTTCCAGTTTTGCACATTTTCTTTGTGACCTTTAATTGTAGATTATAGCCCCATATAGCTCTTGTATTGTATTTCTTCACCTATTTTTCTATCCTTTAGTTGTAGATTATAGTTCCTTCAGTTCCTCTGTTTTATTCTTCACCTGTTTTTCTGACCTTTAGTTATAGATTATAGTTATTATTACTAACAGTATGTTAGTTCCTTTATTTTATTTTTTCACCTGTTTTGCAACCTTTAGTGGTAGATTATATTTCGTTATTCATTTTATTTTTGCCGCTTGTTTTCGGGATAGTGCTTGTGTAGTGACTCACAGATTATAGTGGCCTTGGTGAACGATGGTAGGGTAAGGTCTTGTCCTCGGGGGTGTCAGCANTGCTGGAGATAACGCGCGGGATGTGGGCAGTTTCAAACTTTGGTATACTGGGAGGGTGGGGGCAGGAACGGGGTAGGTATCTTTGTTGATAAGGATCTCCGTGAACTAGTGGTGGAGGGTAGGACGGTGAATGATAGGCTAATGACTATTAAGCTAGTTGTTGGAGGTCAGCGCGTACAAACCCCAAGCAGGCTAAAATGAGAAAATCAAGAGGCGTTTATGGGAGGATTTGAATGAGATGGTGCATGGTATCCCGCATACCGAGAAGCTTTTCATATGAGGAGATTTCAACAGCCACATTGGAGTGATGTCTGGGGATATGATGATGTGCATGGTGGCTTTGGTTTTGGAGATAGAAACGGAGGAGGAATGTCTCTACTGGACTTTGCTAGAGCATTTGATTTGGTGATAGCAAACTCGAGTTTCCCGAAGAAGAGGGAGCACTTGGTCACCTTCCGGAGTTCGGTGGCTGAGACTCAGATTGATTATTTACTCTACAGGAAGTCTAATAGAGGTCTTCGCACGGATTGCAAGGTCATCCTGAATGAGAACCTCTCGACCCTTCATAGGCTCCTGGTCATGGACCTTGAGATCACGAGGAAGAGGAGGAAGAGGGCGATGTATAGCCAACATAGGATCAAGAGGGGAGCCTTGACGGAAGCTAAAGCGCAGGAGTTGGGGGTCAAGCTAGTGACTATGGGGGCTTGAAGGAGTAGCGGGGACGCAAGCGCTATGTGGACCACGACTGTGCAGTGCATTAGGGAAGCCACGAGAAAGGTATTAGGGGTCTCAAAGGGTTACTCTAGTGGTCACAAAAGAGACTGATTGTGGAATGGAGAGATGCAAAGAAAAGTGGAAACCAAGAAAGAAGCATATCTAAATCTAGTGGAAAGTGTAAGCGAAGAGGGCGAATAGGGAGCATTATAAGTTGGCTAAGAAAGAGGCAAAGCTAGCAGTTACGGTGGCCAAGACTGCAACTTTTAATTGTTTGTATGTGGAACCCGAGGGTCGAGGTGAGTATAAGAGGTTGTTCAGGTTAGCCAAGGCGCGAGAAAGGAAGGCGCGTGACGTGGACCAAGTGAAGTGCATCAAGGACGAAGAAGGTAGAGTTTTGTTGGATGAGGGGCTTATCCGTCGGAGATGGCAGACCTACTTTCATAGTCTCTTGAACGAAGAAAGGGACAGGAGCATTGTACTGGGTGATTTGGAACTCTCCAAGAGTCGTTGTGACTTTGGGTATTGTAGGCGGATTAGAGTTGGTGAAGTTGAGGGGGCTATGCGTAAGATGAGCAGGGGCAAAGTGACTGGGCCGGATAAAATCCCAGTGGAGTTTTGGAAAAGTGCGGGCAAGGAAGGCTTGGATTGGCTCACTAGATTATTTAATGTCAATTTAAAACGAAGAAGATGCCCGAAGAGTGGAGGTGGAGCACGATGGTTCCTGTATACAAGAACAAGGATGATATCCAAAATTGCAATAACTATCGGCGTATCAAGCTGCTTAGCCATACTATGAAAGTCTGGGAGAGAGTGGTAGAGCTAAGGGTGAGGAGGAGTGTGTCTATTTCCGAGAACCAGTTTGGGTTTATGCTGGAGCGTTCGACAACAGAAGCCATCCACCTTGTTAGGAGATTAGAGAAATATAGGGAGAGAAAGAAGGACTTGCATATAGTGTTTATCGACTTAGAAAAAGCGTACGATAAAGTTCCAAGGGAGATTTGTGGAGATGTTTAGAGGCTAGAGGTATATTGCCTACGTTAGATTGATTAAGGACATGTATGATGGAGTAAAGACTCGAATGAGAACGTTCGTTCGGACTGTGACCATTTTCCGATTATGATGGGGTTGCATCAGGGGTCGGCACTCGGTCCTTTTTTGTTTGCTCTGGCAATGGATGTATTGACGTGCCACATCCAAGGGGAGGTGCCGTGGTGCATACTATTTTGCAGATGATATTATGTTGATTGACGAGACGCGAGACGCTGTGAATACGCAATTAGAGGTTAGGCAGACCTTGGAATCTAATTCAGTGGCGAGACTCGTGGAGGTGAAAGGAAGGTGAGGCTGGACTCGCAGGTCATCCCTAGGAGAGATAGTTTTAAGTACCTTTTGTTTATTATTCCGGGGGATGGGGAGAATAATGAAGATGTCACACATCGTATTGGGGCGGGATGGATGAAATAGGACTCGCTTCCGGTGTTTTGTGTGACAAGAAGGTGTCACCGAAACTTAAGGGTAAATTCTACAGAGTGGAAGTCAGACCAACGATGTTGTATGGGGTTGAGTATTGGCCAGTCCAGTGTTTTGAAAAGCAAGCGCTTCGTCGCTTTAAGCGAGGCGAAGCGAGAAACCGCCGCTTTTTCCTAACTGAGGCGACGCGACCAGCAGAAGCGATCGCTTCAGCCAAGAAAGTAAGAAGCGACCCAGAAGCGAGAAGCGCAAAAGCGCTCGCTTCTGTTCATAGGAGTCATTTTGAAAAAAAAAAAGTTTGAGGGGTCTTTGTTTTATTATACAAAATAGACCCAAAGTGAAAAGCTCCTCCTNGTTTAATGTGTATTTCAATTTATAAAATTAACTATTATATTTAGTAATTTTATATGTTGATTCTATTAATTTATAGCCCGTTTGACCAAGCTGCAAAAATCAGCTTATTTTGAGAAGTGTTTTTTTTCAAAAGTGCTTTTCTCAAAAGTACTTTTGGTGAGAAGCAGTTTGTGTTTGGCTAATTAGTTTGAAAAGCACTTCTGAGCAGCAATTGGTGTTTGACCAAACTCTAAAAAACTGCTTCTAAGTGCATTTTTCTCAAAAGTGTTTCTCAAAAAAATGTTTTTGGAGAGAAACTACTTTTTTCTGCTTCTCCAAAACTGCTTCTGCTTGTCCTCAAAAGCACTTTTTTTCCTTCCAAAAGCTTGGCCAAACACCTCAATTTTTGGCCAAAAGTGCTTTTGGCCAAAAAGAAAATTGGCCAAACAGGCTATTAGTAGCTTTGATTTTGCTTGTCCTATGGTTTTATGGAGGATTTGGTGGTACCTATTTTTAAGTTTTTAAATTGAACTTTTTGATTATTTATACTATGTCTTTGAAAGGTTTACATTATGTTTTTTAAGAATTGCGCTTCACTTCGATGAAGCGTTCGCTTCGCTTTTGAAGCGACGCGAGCCCCTGTAGCTTTTTTGCGCTTCTCACTTTCAAAAACACTGGGCCAGTCAAGATCACTCATGTCCAGAAGATGAAGGCAACAGAAATGAGGATGTTGAGATAGATGTGTGGGCTTTAGATAGGATCAGAAATGAGATTAAAAGTGGGTGTGGCCTCTATTGAGGACAAGATGCAGGAGGCGCGGCTTAGGTGGTTTAGTCATATGAGGAGGAGAAGCACAGACGCCCCAGTGAGAAGGTGTGAGAGGTTGACATTGGAGGGCCTACCGAGAGGTTGACATTGGAGGGCCTACCGAGAGGTAGAGGTAGGCCAAAGAAGAGGTGGGGAGAGGTGATTAGGCAAGACATGCCGCAACTTCAGCTGGCCGAGGACATGGCTCTTGATAGGAAGATATGGAGATCGAGGATTAGGGTAGTAGAGTATGTAGTCCAGAGTGTTCATAACTGTAGTATTGGCACGCAATCTCGCTTTCTGTTGGTAATAGGTTTTTATGACTAACCGTTATTTTCTTTCATTGTTGATCACCTTACTATCTAGCTGTTTTTATTATGCTTTTATATGAATTTTTGGTACAGTCCATTCTTGTCTATATTTTCATTAATATGGTGCTTATGTTTTCCTCAACCGAGGATCTATTGGAAACAACATCTCTATCCTCACAAGGTAGGGGTAAGGTCTGCATACACACTACCATCTTCAGACCCCATAGTGTGGGATAATACTAGGTATGTTGTTGTTGTTGTTGTTGTTGTTTCCCATAGTAATTGAAAACTCATAACATGGATTTTACCAATCAGTTGGAAAATTTATGTTTAACAACATCAAACAGTGCTATCAAAGATCCATTTAAGGCGTGCTCAAGCCCTGAAGCTCAAAAAAGCTAAGGGTGTGCGCTTCGCGTCACTTAGGCCGCGCTTTAGTGTAGGCGATAAGGTGTGCGCTTATTTTCCCATAACTCCACAAGTTGTAGCTTGAATAGAGCAGTAGAAAACAATAAATATAATTGGCAAAGAATATATTATGTTAAGGGAATCATATGAATGAAATTGTTACTTATTTTGTGCATTACATATATATTTATTTTTTTCTACGTTGCGGCTTTTTTAACTAAAGCCCACACTTTTATTGTGTTTTTTGCTTAAAGCATAGATAGACTTGGAGCGCTTTTTAACGCTTTTCGCCGATGACAACACTAACATCAAAAGATGATCAATATCCGCCTATATATTGTTCAATATCAACTTAAAGGAGCTAAACAAAAGGCACTATCACCCCTCCTCCAGGAGAGGAGTAGAGTCCATCAATATTGAACCCCACAATAGAGTTTACTTCAATTCCTTACTCAACACAGTGCCTTAAAAAGATTCCGAAACCAGTTGCTAGCAGAAGTAGCGCGACAAAGAGCAAAGCATGGCATTCACAAAGAAATGGTCTAAAGAGTCAAATAGTTTTTCTTCGATTGTGATCTCTTGAAATATCTTGTAGGCACTTTCAATTAGAAAACATAGTGATGTATAGCACTTATTAGAGCAATGCCTAAATATGTATATTTATTGTTAAGAAAATTAAAAAATCCATATCTGAATTCTACACTAAAATTCAGATATCTCGACCTTTAACACTCTGAGCCCTTCTAACCTTACGGCAAAAAGAATACTAAAACAATAACCATCTTAAAGTATAGGAAAGTTATATAGTTCACTTCCATGTAACTAATATTGTAACACTGGCTTTAGTATTTTGTTTGTTATTCTTAATATACAAATGAGAAGAGCTTGATAAAGGTTTTCTTTAGAACATTGAAAATTATACTTGTGCCATAGTTTTAAGTCTATAAATATATTTTTTTAGAACAAAATCTTTAAGTCTTTAAATCAAACACTAACTACTCTTTTATGCATTAAAAGTTGTACAATCTATTGTGCAAAATCAATGTTAAACAAAATAATAATTTATCCAACAAAAATTATAAATTATATTTGAAGTAATCCTAGGGTTCATTCATCTTAAGCTTTTGAAATGAAAACAGAAAACAAGATTTAATTCCAATTAACATCACTCTGCCAAAAAAACTATGATCAATATAACAGGGATCCTATCAATTAGGGTGAAACATCAACAATAAATTAAAACCTATCAGTTCACCAAGTAAACGAAAAATACAAACAGACTCCATAAGAAATCTCACTAGAATGAGGTTATGTTAACAGTTTGACCTTATTAGACTACCAAACGCCATCTACAGTGAAAAGAGTTACTATATCACAGGAGCAAAACGTGCACTTAATAGTTCAGATGAGTATGGCAATAGTACTTCAACTACATTACTATGTCAAAGATCAATTGCCTCAATTGATATCTAAGTTTCCAGAAAAAACATATACCAAAGGTAATACAGCAATCTAATCACCAACAACACAATTATAAAAAAGAACTGCAATGAAAATAATCTAAGAAACAGAACTAACTAAATTACTAACGCTACTAGACACACCCACACACAGACACAAAAAAAAAAAAAAAAACTGACCAGCTTA